GGAAAAAAATTCTGCCACATCTTGTGTTTGTCTCCTCATGATTTTCCCGCCTTTCAATAGTTTCAAATGCACCACAGGTAGACACTGAGAAAATGCTGATGGATGACTCACAAGGATTTCTGAACCATGTTGAATTCCTTGGAGGCAAAATTGTTCCAAATTCACTTGCTTTGGGTCCAGTGCTGTTGGCATGTGCTCTTCCTGGAACCCAATTGGACCCAGTGTCCCATTCTTGCAGTTGAGTCTCTTTTTTTTAACAGAGAACATAATAATAAATATAACAGGGCTTTGGTTTGTGCCAAGTGTTTAATGATGTTGAAAAATTCCTCACATACTCTTTGCATCTATTCTCACATTTTATGAGGACTGTAAGAAGAAGAGCAAGAAAAAAAATAAGAGTTTATCCAAAGATGATGTTTTCATTGTGTAGAAACTGTAGACAGTACACAGGACAAAGTAAGGCTTCCCAAAATTGATTAGGAAACTATTATTAATAATGCTTCGAAAACAAATCTTTCAGATAGGAATCTTGTCATCCATCCAAAATAGAGTAGTATATACAGTATCAAATGCAATAATTCATTCTTAAATGAATGTAGAAATGTCCTCATCCTAAATTATTTAGAAGCACTTGAACAGATTATATATATATTGTATATGGCCAATCATGCTCATCGGGATTAACAGTAAAAAATATTTCTTCAACCTCTCATTAATGTTGATACATTTCCAGTTGCATGCCAAAATGCAGGTACATACATATTCTATATGCATGATGTTATTATTTAAGATATTTTGAAATCACTGATTATTTTTTGTTTTTGTGGCAGGTGCATGCGACCCTGGGTATTTCATTGCTCAGTACTCAGCAGACACTTGTTCCCCGTGTCCAGCAAACACTTACCAGCCCCAGTTTGGTGCAACCACATGCCATGGTTGTCCAGATGGCACCACCAGTCCTGTTGCCTCTGCCAGCATTTCTTCTTGCATTGCGCCAGAGTCATTATGAACTACTGCTCTACTGTACTGCTGTGCGCAATCATGGTTGCTTTTCCTGATTGAAACATGTTTATGCAGCACTCTTTGACTGATTCTCCATAACTTTTGAATAAATATACATTGGCTTTTGATTCATGCTATATTTGTGAAACCTAGCATATTTTATAGTATACATGTATACTCACTCTCTCTCTCTCAACTCTTGTCCATACAACTTTTTTCTCTGTGTAAAAAATTTGTTGGTGGTCCCACAGGGTTCTCTGTACTCTATACAGTATCCATGTTATATGCCTCTCTATAGATAGCAAAATTCTCTTCTACAACAAATTTTTCTGGTCCCATGAATTTTGTTATAGTGAGAGTCCACCTGATGTATAGACAATATTTCATCAATCACTGAATCACAATTATGCTGTGCAATAATAAAAAAAATTGAGAAAGCAACATATATTGTACATATATTGTATATATACTACCTTTGAGATTTTAAAAATCTGGCAACAATCATGTTAGTCTTATATATAGAAGGGGATAATGGATAGTGGAATAGGAGGTCCTTCAAATAAAAATCCGAGGTTTGAATTCGAATTGTTGCTATATACACTCTCCAGTTTAGTTGGTCTCCTCAGCTTCTTTTTACATAATACAGCTGTACTCTATGTAGAGTATGGACAGCAGTGCGGGAAGGGCTTTCCTCTCCCGCCGCCTGGCGTCGCTGCTGCATGCGTGCAAGCTGCTGCTGAATTTGCTGCCCTCAGCATTGCCTCATTCATGATGATTCCTTTTATGCGGCGCACGTTTTATTGAAGCCACGTGCATGCAGACGCGGTCTGAAATGAGCTCAGCCAGGCTCCGATTACAAATATTCTGCTCTTGTATGTATGCATGTCCTCAGTTGCCGGGTTGTCTTTTATTATTATTCTTCGTCTTGAAGCCATCATCATCCACCAACTCCGCCGCCAGCAGCAGCTGATTCCCTCCCTTCCTACACCAATAATATAGGTTCCTTATATTCGTCTGTTCTAGCTTGAGGGGATGAGACATGCGCCTTTCCTCTCTGCTGCTGTGTATATTGGGCATCACTAAAATTTATTCCGTCTCCAGCATACACAGTAGCTTCACGTCTTCTGTTTATGCATTATTGTTTCAATTTTTTAAGTGATGCATGCATATACTGTAGTAGATATTTTCCATGATACTACCGTATATAGAAATGCACTAAATCAGTTCAATGAGTGAAGCTTTTCCAGCTCCTATGTTGCTGGCATTTATATCTATGCAGTATAAGCACAGATTCATGCATGCAATATCTGCTATATCGGCGGGATTCCTGTTCTAATGCCAAATTATATATATATGGACGTTTTGTTGTTGAATAATACAATACAGTACTGTATAATTTTTTCATTAATAGAGTGAGCTTGGGTCTATATGATTTATGGTTCACATATCCCACCCGAACTCAAAGAACAGACCCGAGAAGAATGCTGTATTCCACCCCCCGTAATAACTGAAGATGATCAGCGTTAGTTTTGTAAGGAAGATTAAGCAGGGCTTGTCATAAATATATATAGGGCCTGCGCAAGCGCGTTCATCGGCTTGCTACGTGATGATGGTTGCTTTTTGAGAGAACCTTTGCGTGAAGGACTCGAACAGGAGCCCGGGCTGTGTGTATGTGAGTGGAGTTGAACATCAGAACCGCGCAGAACATGGTGCGCTCAGTTCCAAGCACTTGAGCATCGTCTCGGCTCATCATGCACTCTATATGTACATGATATATTCGGAATCGTCCTGATGCTAGTGGTCAGAAGCATAAGGTATAAGCTTGATCCCCATGAAACGGCGATTCTCCGAAGGTGTATCCTGTTTATTTTTAGTCGTTTCGTGAAAATATGTGCATGGAAATGGGCGAGTTATTGTTGCCGCTGTGCTGAATGATGTTCCAACGATATTCTCATCTGAATCGCGAATGATCCTTGAGCCTGGCAGCACGGTACTTCTGTGTCTTCATCAGCAGCTCTTATCACTGTACAGCAGTATACTGAGTTTCTCATCTGAAAGCTGTCCGTCGTTGAGAAGTGCTATTCCTCCTGCTAATTTGGATGAAACCCGTGAATATATCGTGTAGTCGTGCTCTCACGTGAAGTAATGCAGAAGAGGTGATGCGGGGAACCCTGGTCTTATGATTGTAGCTACATACAGTATAGATGTTCGTAATGGTGCGGTTGTGAAAGTGTATGTGCAGCACTCCATTGACGAGATGGACGCGAGCAACGCTCTTATTCTACGTCGTGCAAGCTGACGGCAACATTTTGCGTGAAGGATGTGCCATGTCGTGAAAGCAGTATTCAGCTTTTTTGCTGCCATATTTACCATTATTCCGAGTGAGTCTGTTCAGATTATCCTCCTGCAGTCGTGTGAGTCATGTTGAATGAGTGCGAATAAGCAGTAGCCAACAACAGTATATGAAAAACTATTGATCTCCAACTACAATAACTCATTGCTATACTTTATTGTCGCAGCTTCGGCGTATACCGTATATCGTGCGCTCCTCACTTCTCAACCCTCGTTTCCGTTGAAATAAAAAATATTAGGTCAAAATGAAGATTCTTATAGCATGCGTTCGGCAATCATTGGCTTATTGACTCCTTTGAGCATAAGCTGGTACGTTAAATTGCGTGATATCTGATGACTTGCACATTCAATAAGGTATGATCACCGCGGTGAGATGCGAAGGAGGAAAATTGAAATAGCCACGCAGCAGGAATCTGTTCAGAGGCCGCTGGTTCACAGATCACTTGTCGAGTGCAGTATTATAGGTGTTCGGGTATTCATTTAGGATTAAATAAATTAAAATTATGAATTAGATCGATGCACGTATACTGTATTTGCTGTGTTGAAAACTTTATTTGCGTGCTTTTTGTGTTGTGTGGTTACTGTTCTGTGCTGTACAGCGATCTTCTATTGTGAGTTTATATACAGTGGTTACCAATGTTGTGCCACATTTATGCATGCAGATGTGTTGAAGAAGGATAAAAATTATATAGCCATAACGAAAAAGGAATAAGTGCGCAAAGATGTCGTGCAGTATTCGTGTGTGTAAATCAAGAGCAGGCTTCCTCTCCCCCATCAGCTGCTATACAGTACAGTAGTAGTGTTTTCAAGACAGGGAATCTTGATTATTCTCCTATTCTTATTTGTTCAGATGGAGTTGAGGCGATTCGATGCCACGTGTGCAAGTTCTCGGGACCCCCGGATGACTGGGGCATCAATTGCAACGACCCCTTCAACATCAACGGAACACTCAGGGAATGCTCGTTGGAAATGTTCTACGACTCGAGCGGAAGCATCCCGCCCCCCAACATGACGGCGTTTTTCTGCCGCAAAACCGTGCAAAGAGGTACAGTACTGCACTGTACTGCTGAACGCCGTGATATAACATTCCAATGTTTTCTTTACTGAAATTTGCAATGAATAACATTTATTTTTCAAAACTTTGAGGTCTCTTGAACAAATTTAGCTTTCTATGTATGCTCACAAATATATGTTATTATTAATTCACCGGAATTATTTTCGATGTAGTTCCTCAATTCCATCATTATTGCTGCCTACAATTCTGTATATGATGAAGACTTATTGTCGTGTGCTTGATCTTGGACCGCATTTAAAGCTAAAACATGAGATATCGTGCGGTTTTCTTCTGCACAGTTAGTTTTCTGTGTCTTCAAGCTGAGGACAATTATTTTCTTCCATTTTGGGGGGGAAATTTATCCTCATCTTTGATCATTACAAAAACGAATGAAATATAATTCCCATTGAAGTCTAAGGGAAAACATGATCAGACATGCGGACGGTTAATCGTATATATGTGGACAAGGTCGAAGCAATAATTACGATCGCATCTCGTGGCCCCACGTACTGTATACAATACCGTGTACAGTAGGCCTCTCATCTATAACGATTTTCTCTCTATAACGATTTTTTCGTCTCACAGACACGGGGTTCTCTCTCAATTTTACGGTGGTTCTCTACGACGAAAGTCTCTCTAACGAATTTGTTTCTGGTCCCGTGAATTTTCTTGTAGATAGAGAGAGGGAGAGAGAAAGTCCACCTGTGTGTACAAGGGCTGGCTCATAAGTTGGGAGATTTTTAAAAGTAGATCCAAGGGAGTTTCAACAATTTAATTTTATCACTGGCATCATAATAGCCCCATAAATAATGTGCAACTCTTGAGCTTTCCGCTGATTTCAACGCATCTCTTCCTGCAATAAATCCAAACACTGCCAAAAATTGAGTCCTGTTAGTTGATTTGGTATATACCCTGTGACTCATGGCTGTTCCCCACAGCAAAGAACAACCGAAATGGGATCAATTTTGAGGACAGGGACAGCCTCAATCCTGCCGTCAAAGAGCAGCTTATTATAATCAACTAACAGAACTTGATTTTTGGCACTGCTTTGATTGCTTGGCAGGAAAAAACTGCATTTAAATCAGTGGAGGGTATATATGTTGAGAGGCAATGAAGTCTTGCCAAATGATGGTGCTTTGTGAGCGAGAATTTCTTTTGGAAGTTTCAAAACCCCGTTGGATCTATAACTCGAAAAAGTCTCAATACAATACAGTACTGCACTTATGAACCAACCCTCATATATGCAGTACGTGTATTATACATGCAGGGATGAACAGTAGGCAAATACAGTACAGTAGTTGAACAGGCAGCACTTTTTTTTAATGAATTAGAACAAGGACGTTGTTTGCTTGTCATCCAGCAGAGAAGTGTAAATATATGATCTTGAAATAGCTATACTGTATAGGTATCATCAGCAGTCCAGTATTTTGGTCATGATTATGAAGATCGTTCGTTTATTGATGGTGGGCTGGCTGGCTAGCTAATAATACTGCACTATATACTCTGGTGATGATGATGATGTTGATGTTGATGATGATGATGACGTATAGTCATGTGACGATATGAATGCATGATGCAGTGAAGGACATGCTGCTGGTGAAGCGGTCCTGCGCGTGGGAAGAGTACGACGTGAAGGGCAAGGAGTGCTACATGACCGGCGACTTGAACTTCAGCACGCTGAGCTGCGTGTGCTACACCGACGGCTGCAACACGGCTGCACCCGCCCTGATGCTGGCCTCCGTGGCCACGTACTTGCTCATCTCTGCTGCTACTGCTCTCATCTCCACCACCACCACCACCACCATGCATCTCTCATCATTCTCATCAGCATGATGCTGCTGCATGATGGTCGGAATACTTGTAGAAATTTGACGCAGAGAGTTTTCATCGATTATCGATTCATTACTTTCTCGCTCAGGCAGATACATAATAATATGAGTCACGATTTGTTGCACCTTTTCTGTTTTTTTTTTAATTCTGCCTACGTATTATATTTCCCTATTTATCCAGCTGCTGTGCATAGTATAATTTTTCAAAAAATTACCCAACGGGGTGTATGGTATAGATGAGAAGAAGGTCATTAACTTTGTGAAAAAAGTGTATTTTTTCTCTTGACTCTTGCCTGACTTGGCAAAAAGATCAATCGAATGCTGTGGCACTTATGGCAAAATGTTTGCATTCAGTATATTCTGTAGTTAAATCACAGATAGCCCAATTAAACGTTCACTTCCTCTCAAAAGACTAAAAATTGTTTTTCCCTTTCCTGTGTCAATAATAAAATACTGTAATGGCTTAAATGCAGCCTGCAGAATATTTGAGATATGGAGATTTCAGGAGGAAAGCCTTTGAGTTATAGAAAGGTTTTTAATGCATTGTTTCTGGGAGAATTCTGAACAGGATTTGAGAAATAATCAACATTTGGAGGTATTGGAATTATCAAGGTTCAATTGCATTGCTACTGGGGTCACTCAAAAGGGTCTGAGATATTTGTATTAAAGTAACATTGTATATTTGAACATACTGCATAACCAAATACTGGGACCCACCTACAGTGTAATGTCATGAAAAATTTGTGTTTTTTCCAAGAAAGAAAAAACACACATCGTCTGTAGTTCAGATATATGAGATATACAGTATATTCCTTAAATTTGTGTTGATGTAAAAACTTTGTTTAAAAGCATTTGTCCGCTGTATTTGCATGTTTTTTAGTATAGTGCGTGCGTATACAATGTGATGGCGTAGCATACAGCTCTTGGTTTCAACTACTGTACTTGGAATGTAGCATGTGCTTCCTTTTATTTCATGATACCAGCATCACTGACCTGCTTATGTTTGGTTTTCATCTTTATCAGCTAACTTGGACACCAAACCCAGTGACAATATGTCGCAACTAACCCAAACTCGTTTTTACAACTGCTGTTGCATGGATCTAGATTGACAAGATGAAAGATGCGGTGTGTCAAATGATGAATGCTGGACAAAGGCGCGGAGGAATCATCTTCAATAGAAGGTGGAACTGAAGGAGAAGTGGATATACTGTATATGCTTAGCATGTCTTTGCATGTGTGTGGTACGTGAAGGTGCTAGCTGTTTCTGACGGAATCTTTGACTGAAGATGGATGCAACTCTGGAATCGATCGAGTCAGTGAATCCATTAATTGCAAGACTCCTTTCATCTTTGGAAAAAGAGGACGTCGATTCACACAGCGGCCCGGGTGATCATACAGGCTGGGCAGAAATTCCACATGCACAGGATTACATGCTGGTTACTTCACACAGCTTGGTAAGTGCTAAATCGATCTGCATATTATTTCGTATCTTTACATATCACTCATCAGCATGGTCTGCAGACTGGTGTTGTGAGTCCTCAGAAGCTGTTTGCTGGCCTGCAGAATTTTTTAAAAACATAACTTAAAGGTATTAATGAATCTATATTATCTTCATCTGAAATTTGAGCAAGGCAATTAATGGCAGTTGAAATTATCCAAGGAAAAGAAAAGATGGTTTTTTTTCCACAATTCTGTACTGTGCTGGAATCCTTCAGAAAAAATGTTATCCTGCTTCTGAAATATTCTATGCAAGTATTCATTTTGAGCAACCTTTTTTGAAACCCTGCTTTAAAAGATTTTTCTACACACTGAAGCTGCTTCATTGGTTCTTGACTTCATTTTCCCCCTGAAAGATTTCATTGAAGGACTTAATGGTTGGCATTTAAAAAAAAGCCTGCTGGTCTGAAAAAATTATATCTAACTTTGCCAGTCTGCAAAACACTTGAAGGAAGTGTGGCTGTCTGCNGTTGCAGTGCTGTGCTGGCTGTGAGTGGCAGCTGTGTTACACACTCCACCGCCTGTCCGTCGGTCTGTCTCTCCAATCCAGAGAGAGGACGAGATTAAGTGAGTTCTACGATCAGAAGAGTGGAGTACAGTATGTATGCAGGCAGAATAGTAGAGGGAGTGAAAGTGGAGGAAACCCCGGCTGGCCCAAGGAACAGTTCCCAGTTCACCTGCGACATTCGTGGTTGCCGGCTGACGGCGGGGGTTTGGAATTGTGAGGGCGAAGCCGTCGAGGAGGCGAGGAAAATGTAACGATGGTGTGTGTGTTGGAGGGGGGTTATGACCTCCCTTATTTATTCTTGAAAGGCGTGTTTGGATTTGGTGTGATGACCTACCTGACAGTGACACTGTTTTATCAAATATTTTCTCTTAGTGGATCCCCTGGCACGAAATTCTTTTTTCTGTAACATTTGCAATAAATATTTTTTAAAAAAAACGGTTTGTTATCGTCTGAGATGAGGCAAGAACTCATTCATATGCTCCTTCTTGGCCTTCTTGAAACAATGATGGAGTTTTCGTAGTTGTGGGAAACCCAGATTACTCATCAAGCCTTGGGATTTTCTGCGAACCTCCAACTAGTAAATCCACTCTTTTCCTGGTTCCTATGGATTTTCCCTGTGAGTTTTAGGCGTTGCGAAGAACATCCAACAGTACTGAATACCCAAGTATGTTTCTACAAAAATTAAAGCAAATCCTATTTTTATATCTTCTTGGGCAGACGCAAAAAATAAAAATAAATATCCCGAAGACATTTTCTAGACGCATTTATGTTATTGTGAAGTACAAAATTATCTTTCTTATTTTGCAATTTGAAACTAAACCGATAAATGCTGATGAAACAAAATTTCAGCATTGAAACCTCTGAATGGTTCGTGCATCATAACTCCTGAATTTCTGAAAATGAAAAATTGAATGTTTACTTATCAAATCAAAAGTAAGTTTAATGAAATAATTTGTAGTGCAACTTATTCTGGGTAGACAAGCGGTATATGGTGAGGTCTGAGCTTTCAAAATGTTAATCCGATTCATCAATGTGCAAAATAACGACCGATTGATGCTAAAAAAAAAAAAAGCTTGAATCAAGTGAAGAATTGTGCTTCCAACTCTGTTGGGCAACCTGCGCCGAGGGGATATTTCTATAGGAATTAAAAGGGAATGTTGCGTCTTCCCTTCCTTGCTTATGTGAGCTGATCAGAAAACAAGTCACATTCAGCATCCTTCCAGCAATTAAAGCAGTAGCAGCAGAGAAGTTGCCTATTTTGCGGGGAAGGAAAAAATTTACATTTTTAAAAATCTGTTTGTAAGTCTTTCTATTATCTCATGTTGCGGAATACAATATTTCTTTCCTTCCTTCCTTGACGACAATGAAGCTCCTCCGGATGTGAAAGAAACCTAGAATCGATGCTGTTGAAAATTTGAGTGGATCAAGTCAATTGATGCGTCGATGCGCAATTTTACGACAGGGCTTCTATATCCCGAGACGTGTCTATTATGAAACTTTGGAATTTATTTGAAGCAAAAAGGCAAGCATATAATTCATTCGTTTGAATACTGAGCGCTCGCCGGGATATATACTGATTATACGGGGTTCCTCTGTTATCGAAACCCCCTTTTGGGTGCTTGCGGTATTTTCTGCCATTCATGGTGTTATCAAAGTTTAACAAGTGCACAGGACGACTTCAACACGGCATCGTTTTGTTGCGATTGCGAGCATTTCCGTGTTATCTTATTCGAAGATTGTATTATAGCAGATAGCAGATGGTTTTCTTTCTTATTCATTTTTTTCTTTTTTTGCCAGGACGAATGTTTGTGCCTCTATACTGTATATGAAGATGGCATTATATCGAGGTAAACCCGCGGATATACTCTTCGTAAATATGGTTTAATGCTTCTCCTAGCTGCTATATTGTTTTCTTTCGTCCTCATCGTGTTCTGATTTGACAACCCGCTTATTGTGTTATTCATATATACAGTGCGTAGTTCACATACGGTACTTTGGGTCAGATAAATTGCGAATTATTCCCATGCCCGTGCGCTTCTGTTGGTTACCCAATACATGGGTTATTAGGTTATTTACCGTCGTGTCCACGTTACTCTTGTATACTACTGTGAATCGCAGTTTCGGGAAGGGAAAACAAATGAGTCGACAGCCCATTTTTTATTTTGCGAATCGGATGTTTTTAGACTATCCTCCGCCTATATTTTTGCGTCTCTTTCACGCATGCAAAAGTGTTTGAGTGATGATTTGAAAATTTATTCGATTTTATGGGAGATTTGGTTGTTGTTGCTGCGCTTAAAACAGCGCATTATAGTTGAAACTCGATAACTGAAACCTCCCCTAATCAAATACAGTACCTCCCTATTTCGGTTTTTTTTTCAACTATGCATGCAAAACCTCCCTGATTGAAGGGTTATCCCCTCAAACCGTCATAACTCGAACTTTCTGGAGAGACCTTTTGGCTATCATTTTATTGACACAGAAAAGAGGGGGGAAAATGTAACTTGAATACTTGATGTGTATTTGAAAAGGAAGTGGAAGACAAATTGGGCAAGTGAACCCTTGCCTCCAGCAAGTTCAGAATCCTACTGTCAATAACTCATTTGAGAAGCAGCAATGAAAGACCCAACAGAATATCCCCAATTACGATTTCCTTGTAATAATTATTGATTTCCCCCGAACAAAAATGCCTGTTTGTCTGACTCGAAACCTCCTTGATAACTCGATTTTTCTTTTTGCTGGTCCCTTGAAATTCAACTGTCCAATAATTTGGATGAAGGCATAGTTACTCAACTGTTTATTGAAGCACAGCTCAAGTTGTTAGTTTGGTCGGATCATTTGTAAAGATTTTCATGCGAGTCGTATACGTGTTCTTTCAAACGCGATTGAAAAACTAAAAATGTGCTGAGTTTCCAGTTCTACACAGTACAGTATATACATAGTCATGTATTCCCTTCTTATTTGCATCAAAGTGAAAAAGTGGACTGCTGCAGTGAACAGTTCGCAAATTTGAAACTCGGTAGAATAATGCAAAGTACAGTGAAATAGTAATTCAATTGAAGTAAGTGAAATGCAGAGCATGTATACTTGAAACGAAAAAGAAAAGCAACCTCTCCAGCAGCAC